GCCAATTCCTTGGTGAATTCAGCACTTTAAAAAAAAGTTTCTTGCACAATCTGTAGCTTTGTGACTTTCTAATTAATCCCCTCTGGAGATTGTTGGATGTCAATATCCCAACACAAGTTAAGAGTATTGTTCAGGCCAATTTTCACAGCACCTCTAATTTTAAACTACATTTAATCAACACCTGCAATAAATTAACCTAGATTCAAAATGTCTAGTTTTGCGTGAGAATACATCAGTGTGAGAGAGATAAAATAATTATTTCGATCCACAAAAAAAATTACATTAACAGTGCATTATCACAACAAAATGTGTGATGAAAGTCAAAATGCAGCCAGCAAAGTCCCAGTATCAGATGAATGACGACTTTTGCTCAAGCATGTAATGAAACTTCCCTTACTTTTTGGACAGTATCAAAACATATTAAAAGTCTTCCTGAATAGGCAGATAGAATTTAATGTGGGGAAGTGTAAAGTTATTCACATAGGTAGAAAAAATAGAAAAACAGATTATTTTCTAGAGGGGGAGAGATTAGATAGTGTTAGTGTTCAGAGGGATTTGGGTGTCCTTGTACACCAGTCTCAAAACGTTAGTTTGCAGGTGCAGCAAGCAACTAAGAAGGCGAACGGCATGTTAGCGTTCATTGCAAAAGGTTTAGAGTACAAGAGTAGGGAAGTCTTGCTGCAACTGTATAGGGCCTTGGTGAGTCCGCACCTAGAGTATTGTGTGCAGTTTTGGTCTCCCTATTTAAGAAAGGACATACTTGCCCTGGAGGGGGTGCAGCGTAGATTCACTCGGTTAGTTCCTGGAATGAGGGGACTGACCTATGAAGATAGGCTGAATAAACTAGGGCTATATTCTCTAGAGTACAGAAGAATTAGGGGAGATCTTATTGAAACATATAAGATTCTTAAAGGGCTGATAAAGTAGACACTGAGGGTCTGTTTCCCCTGGTAGGAGAATCTATAACCAGGGGTCACAGTCTTAAAATTAAGGGTCAGCCTTTTAGAACAGAGTTGAGGAAACATTTCTTCACTCAGAGGGTAGTGAATTTATGGAATTCACTCCCACAGAAGGCTGTAGATGCTCAGTCCTTGAACATCTTCAAGGCTGAGACTGATAGATTTTTAAAAAATAGAGGGATTAGGGGATATGGGGATAGGGCAGGTAATTAGAGTTAGGTCTGAAGATCAGCCATGATCTTATTGAATGGCGGGGCACACTCGAGGGGCCGAATGGCCTACTCCTGCTCCTAATTCTTATCTTCTTATGCCACCTCTAAAAATGCAGCAGTTCCTCATTATTGTGCAAAAAATATAAATTGGTCATGTTTTACCCACAAAATATACAGTCAATTCACTTTACAGTATATTCTGTAAAGCGCTTTGAGACGTCTTGAAAATGTGATAAAGCACTATATCAAATGCAATGATTATTATTATTTACTCCATGGCTATTCGTGAGACGTTGCTGTGCGCAACTCACCCACAAAAGTGTCCTCGTTTGCCCACAAAACAGATATGTACCGTATATCCTGTGAAACCCTTTGAGACATCCTCCTGATGTGAAAAGCACTATACCAAATGCAAGGATTATGATTGTAATTATAATGACAGTTTTCACTATGACCCCTGGGTCCCAATGTGGCCAACCTGTTCTTTTGAAGCCCCTTTCTACTCCAACAACCACAACAACTTGCATTTATATAATAATGATAATCCTTGCATTTGATATAGCGCTTTTCACGTCGGGAGGACGTCCCAAAGCGCTTCACAGAACACACTGTAAAGTGAATTGACTGTATATTTGTGGGCGAACGCGGCAGCCAATTGCGCACAGCAATGTCCCACAAACAGACGTAGATTGAAAATGACCAATTTTTATTATTGCTTTTGGAGGGATTATTATTAGGCTCTGTGTGGAGTAAGGAAACTTGCCCAAGGTTTCGCCCTCTGCCTGGAATTGAACTCAGGTCTCTCGCTTGCAAAGTGAGTGCTCTAACCACTGAGCTACAGGACTCCACCCACTGAGCTACAGGACTCCACTAGTGCATTCATGTCAGGAGGACATCCTAAGGTGCTGGACAATAAGACGTTTGCACCCGATTTGGAAATCAGAGAGGGTTGGAGGGCAAGTGGGGTGGAAGAGAGATGACCGAAAGCACAGTCGAAAAGGAAGTTCGTGTGATGGCCTTGAAGGTGGCAAGGGCAAGACAGAGGGGCTTCTGTGGAGGGAAGCCCTACATTTTTCTTCACCACAAACCCTCTCCTCCCTTCCATGCCTTTTCCGCTGTTCATCCACAAAACACAGATACTCCACTTAACAGTATTTCCTGTGAGGCGCTTTGGGTTGTCCTCCCGACATAAAGGGTACTACATCAGGTGCAAGGATTACAAACTTTTACATCAGGCTCTAACTTCGAGGTCATCGACTTCCTTGCATCCAAACTCAACACTATACATTTGGTTTCCTTTGCCACTTATATTTTCCTTTCTTCCCCTGCTCTTACCCTCCTGCGTCCTGCATGTCTTCACACCATCCCCTGAAAGTCTTGAACACAACTCTCCCTCATTTCATGACTCATCTCCCACTTGAAATCCTCACTCCTCCTGCACCCTTCTTAACAACACAGTTCCTGACTACTCAACTATTCCTGTTCACCTCATGCTAGCCAACACCACTAATCTTCCATATCTTCTGGAACTGTGTCCCTTGCTCAGAGAAAAAAAAACCCTTAATAAAAATTAATAATGGGTGCTCATCACATTAGTTCTTGTTAGGCTTCACTGGCTAGTTATCACCGAATGGATCAATTTCAAGATTTTCATACTGGTCTTCAAATCTTTTCATACCCGGCACCTCCCTAGCTCTCTGACCTGCTTGCTCTCCAATCCACTACTGGTCACCTACGCTCGACACGCTCTGGCCTCCTGCTTATCGCTGGTGTCCTCCTTTTCACTATCGGAGGTGCATACATTTGTATAGCGCTTTTCACGTCGGGAGGACGTCCCAAGGCGCTGGACAGTGTACAGCATTTCAGACCCGAGCTAGGGTCAGCGGGGGAGAAGGGAGGGCAGGGGAAGGGGGTGGCCGATGACATGGTCGAAGAGGAGGGTCTTGAGGCGGCACTCCAAAAGCCGCTGAAACCCTGGTCCATGCCTTTGTCACCTCTCGGCTGGACTAGTCGAATGCCCTCCTCGCTGGTCTCCCCTCCACTGCCATCCATAAAATCCAAGTCACACAAAACTCTGCCGCCCGCATTCTTACCCGCACCAAACTCCGCACCCCGATCAGCCCAGTCCTTGCCAGACTGCACTGGCTGCCTGTCCCAGAGAGGATCGACTTCAAGATCCTCACCCTTGTCTTCAAATCCCTCCACTCCCCTACTTCTCTGACCTCCTCAAAACAGTACCCGTTGCCTCCGTTCTTCTGGGTCTGGCCTCCTCCTTGTCCCCCGAGTCCTCCGCTCCACCCTCGGCGGCCGCGCCTTCAGCCACTATGCCCCGAGGCTCTGGAACTGCCTTCCTCACTCACTTCATCTCGCTCCCTCCTTTTCTGTTTTCAGGTCTCTGCTGAAGACCTTTCTTTTCAACCACGCCTTTGGTCACCTTCCTCCCCATCCCCCTGGCTCGGCCCCGGGAGCCGTTACTGTGAAGCGCTCTGAGACACCGTCCGGCATGGAGGGTCCTATATAAATCCAAGTTGTTGTTAACTTGAAGGATGCTAAGGAAGGGGATGGAATTCCAGAGGTTGGGGGCAGAGTGGCTGAAGGCTCTCCCGCCAATGGTGGGGCGGGTGGGTCAGGGGACATGGAGCAGGCCGGAGCCGGCTGAGCGGAGGGAATGGACGGGTTGGTAGGTGGTTAAGAGGTCGCAGAGGTAGGATGGGGCGAGGCCATGGAGGGCTTTGTAGGTGAGGATCAGGATCTTGAACTGGATCCTCTGAAGGATAGGGAGCCCATGGAGTCGGACGAGAATGGGGGAGATGGGGTCATGGAGTTTGGTGCGGGAGAGGACACGGGCTGCAGAGTTCAGGATTATCTGCAGCCTGTAGAGGGAGAAGTTAGGAAGGCCGACAAGCAGGGCTACCCTGCATGAGGCGCTCTGCATAAATGCAAGTTGTTGTTATTGTTGTAATAAACCTTGCATTTGATATGGAACCTTATCACGTTGCTGAGGCGCTCAAAGGACTTCACAGGGTATACTGTAAATAAAGTAGTATGACTGTGTATTTTGTGGGTGAACACAACAGCCAGTAATGTCCTTCAAACAGCCATGGAATGAATGACTAATTTTTGTTGGGGAATTGATGGCCAGTACACCAGAAAAACTTTCTTTCTTTTTGCATAGTAATAATAATAATCCTTGCATTTGATATAGTGCTTTTTCACATCTTCTAGACGTCTCAAAGCGCTTCACAGAATATACTGTAAAGTGAATTGACTGTACATTTGTGGGCAAAATGCAGCAGCCAATTGCGCACGGAGGTGTCTCACAAACAGTCGTGGATTGAAGTGACCAAGTTATTATAGTTTTTTTTCCTGAGGGATTATTATCAGGTGTGTGGAGTAAGGAAACTTGCCCAAGGTTTCGCCTGCCGGCAATTGGACCCAGGTCTCTCGCTTGCAAGGCGAGTGCTCTAACCACTGAGCTACAGGACTCCTTACCATAGTACTTTACCATAGCTTTCTTACTCCACACACCTGATAACAATCCCTCAAAAAAAATTGGTCACTTGATCCATGACTGTTTGTGGGACACTGCTGTGTGCAACTGGCTGCCACTTTTCAACCACAAATATACAGGCAATTCACTTTACAGTATATTCTGTGAAGTGCTTTGAGATGTCAAGAAAGTGTGAAAAGCGCTGTATCAAATGCAAGGATTATTATTACTAGTTATTATTACCAACTGCACTAGGCTGACACTCTTGACACCTTTAGCTTCTGAAACAATCTTTCCAAAGTAATGTAATGGGCTATTGCTTCCCAACTACATTCTCACCTTTTCCTGTTTGAGATCCTCCAATCCAACTTGAACCTGTTGAATCCTCCAATCCAACTTGAATCTTTGCCATCCTAGTCAAAGGCACAAATCACATCCTAATATCTGCACAGGAAGGGCTCTACGGTCCTCCTTTCCTCTCTGCTGATCATTCTATTCTCCTTCACCCACTCTTAAATCTAATGTATGCAGGTGAAACCTTGGGCAAGTTTCCTTACTCCACACCTGATAATAATCCCTCAAGAAAAAAACTATTATAAATTGGTCACTTCAATCCACGACTATTTGTGGGACACCTCTGTGCGCAATTGGCTGCCCCGTTTCGCTCACACATATACAATCAATTCACTTTACAGTAGATTCTGTGAAGCGTTTTGAAACGTCTAGAAGTGATAAGGCCCTATATCAAATGCAAAGAGTATTATTATTATGCTACTTTCTTGGCACCACTCAAAACTATATTGAGGCTTCTGCTTATTTCTGAATGGTCTCCTGTATTACATGCCAGCCTTTATCCTTGGTCCTCTATTTTTTAAATCGTATATGCTTTTTGCTGACATCAGCCATGAAGTTGACACGACCCTCATCTCTGCTACAAAACTGCCCATTCATGTCCCTATCTTATCGCAACACAGCTGAAATTCTCATTTATGCTTTTATCATTTTGAGGTGAGATCTCTCCTTTGCTCTACTACCAATCTCTCCACCTGTACCGTTCTAAACTCTGGCTCTTGTAGAAATCTGCACATGACATCTTCTCGTATAGCTGGCACCCTATGCTCATTAACTTTAGCCACCCAAACAACAACAACTGAGCAACAAATTACATTTGTATAGCGCCTTTCATGTCAGGAGGACATCCCAAGGCACTGAAGCATCCAAGGCTTCCAGTTCCCCAACAAGTCAACAGGGGACCTTCTTATCCCTTCATGATGTTGATCAACCTGAACACTTGCAACCTTGTCCAACTCTATTCCCCTGCCTGTAACCTCTGCTTCTCCTAATATGGTCTACTGCTTTCTCCTCACTCCCTCCATCGGTATCTGAACTTTCAACTGGAACTCTCTCCCCAAACCTCTTCTTCTGGTGCCTTCTCTATCTGCTTAAAAAAAAAACTCATATTAAAAAAAAAGTCTACAAACACTGCCTGGTCTCCAACATGGAGGGGATCCGTCTATGTTTGGATCCACCATTGACCGGTTTTAAGAACAAACAAAGAAATAACACACGCAGGGCCTGTGACTTGTTTTTCTTCCAACATTTAAGTTTCTGCTCGTTACTGTGGGCAGTTTTTTTTTGTGTGTGTGATACTTGCACACGTTTTAGAACAGCTGTGTTAGCTCCAGCTTTGTACTGCATACATCTATTTCGGAGGAGGGAGGTTGGGGAGAGGAGAAATACAGAGGGGAATGTTTTGAATTGTTTGGTGGTGCAAAGCCTCTCAGGACCTTCCAAAGCTGCAAAAACAAAAAAAAAACTCACAATTTCGCACGTTTCACAAAAAAAAACCCAATCGTGCGAAAAGTCACTTCATAACTCCGTGCAACGAGGCAACTGAACTAAGGTGCAGGAGGGAGAGGGAGAGAGGGGGAGAGAGGGAGGGGGAGAGAGGGAGGGAGCACACAGGAGGCGACTGGGGATAAAATGCAACCACTGTATTACCTGTCCCTTTAAGACGAAACAACTTCCTCGTCGCCCCAGTGCCGTTCGCAGCAAATGCTGAGTGAGAGGAGAGGGCGTCACTTCCTCGCACCAGTGTTGCCGCTCGCCTTTAAGGTACCAGGGGTGACAGCAGCCCACAGTGGCCCATCCCCAACCTCCCCGCTCTCAAATCGGGTTGATGTGGCTCTGGCTGCGGGGAGAGCTGACGCCGACCCTCCTCCTCCTCCTCCCTCCCTCCCTCTCTCTCTCTCGTCTCTCCTGACTGTCAGTCGAGCGCGCGGCGGTCAGTGTGCGCCTGTGCGAAGGAGCTGCGGCGCAGGCGCGGCAGCCGGCGGGCAGCCAGCCAGCGGGTTCTCGAGCGCTGACGTGCCGCTGTTGGAACCGGGAACGGTTGGTTGGCAGTTGGTGGCCGTTGCGGCTTTGTTGTGGAGGAGCGGCGGTGGGCGCGAGCGGGCAGGACATCCCCCCCCCACCCCCACACCACTCGGCCTCTACGTGTGCCTCGGGAGAGATGAACGTGGACCGCATCGAGCTGTGCGAGAGTCTGCTGACCTGGGTGAGTGCGACTCCTTCAGGCCCTCGCCTCGGGCTGTGTGAAGAGTGTCTGGGCCCCTCGGCTCGGCAACCGGAGCGTTTTTATTCTGATTAGCGGATGATTTCAGTCACTAAACCCCGCCGCCCTCTTCATCCCGTATCCCTCCTCACCCCACAGCGGTTGCTGAGCTTCGGAGATGCGGATTTTCAGGGTTGAGGGTAAATGACGGAGCTCAGGATCACAGACAGGACCCGTTCTTCCCACCACACCCCAACCCCACCCACACCCACACCCGCCGAGGGCCAGAGATAAGCCGCCTGAATCCTTCATCGTTTCTCAACCTCCTATCCTCAACCGACAGTAAATACCTATGCCCCAGCTCGCTGCCGCTGCCGGGGTCGGGTCGGGTAGGCTGCCCGGGTGATTAATCCCTGTTTACACAGCAGCCATTTGTGTGCCTGAGCTACATTTAGAGTGAGTGAGAGAGAGAGAGAGAGAGACTGACGCGGTTGCCAGTGTGATCCGCTGTCAAGTGCCGCGTCTCTTTACCATCCACTCTTTTGTGTTCAGTGTCTCTGCACTGCACCCCCCGACACCGGTGTGAACACTGTGTTCCCGGTGTATCTGCACTGACCCGGTGTCTTGGTTTGTGCAGTGTGTACACGATTAAGCCGTCCTGGTTTGCCAGTGTGCTGTATGTCTGTGTACTGTTCACCATGTGTGTGCTATTCATTGTCTGTCTTGGTGACACCGGTTTACACACTTTGTATCTGCACTCTGGAAGTGGTCTAATTTGTGCAGTGTATATATAAACTGCTAGTTTGGACAGTGTGTATCCGTACTGTTCGCTGTGTATCTGCACTGTTCCTTGGACACCAGTTTACAATATCTTTTCCTGGTGTATCTACTCTTTATTGTTGATGCCAGTTTGCATCTGTACTGTCCCGTGTCACTGGTTTGCATAGTGTATTTACCATGGATCTGCACTGACTGTTCACACCAGTTTGCACAGTGCAGCCACCAAGGAATCCCCTATTCAATACACAGGTTTACTGTTTTCACAAAATAGTACTATTGATAATAATAATAATAATAATTCTTGATATAGTGTCTTATCATGTTGTCAAGACGTCTAAAAGCGCTTCACAGGATACACTAAAGTGGATTGACTATGTTTTTTTTGTGGGAAACCCATCATAAGGTTGATCTGGATGAAGAAGGCCTTTGGAATACCCGTTCCCATCACTGCATCAGGATGTTTTTTAAATGAGTCTTAGCCTCTGTCACCTTTCCTGGCAACCTGTTCCAGTCATTGATTACCTTCTATGTAAAGAAGCACTTCCTGATTTTTGTCTTGAAATTGCCCTTCCCTTTACCACTCTAAACATGTAGTTATGTTTAAATACTAAAATGTTAATTTGAATAGTACAGCACTTACCAAGAATTTGTCACAGGAGCTCAATTTAGGCCGAAAAAGACAATTTCCTGCTTACGCTGCTTCCGTGATCCTAAAACTCCCCACCCTTGTAGTGGAGGAGGTAATTTGTAGCAGATTCCGTGGAAAAAGTGCGGCCACACTTTTCTATTGGGCCAGTTCATAACTCATTCCTCTAACACTGGGGACCATCCTCATTGCTTTCTTCTGCCACGCCTCTGAGGCTTGCAGTAACTAGAACTCTAGGTTGTATTCAATGTTAAATTTTAGGTTGTTTCCCCAATGCCTTAAACTTCAGAGGGATTTGCTATTGTGATTATTACAATACAAAACTAATGTTTTATCTGATTAGGGAGCACTAATAGGAAAACTGGATTCAATTTAGACTCGGGTAACTCAGAATCCAGGTGAACAATTCATGGAAGTTTAAATTGGCCAAGGATTGAAATTTCCCATGGAGATATTTGTATAGAAATAATTTATTTTCCAGTTATCACAGAATCAAAGGGACTTCAAAAGCAGTTTGAACTTAAAACCTTTGCTACAAAAACATCATGAGTAGAAGTGTCCCAGCAGTGGACCAAACATATTTATTTATGGGCATGCCATGTTTTCTACGTAATTTTCCTGGAGTTAAGAACCTCATCAGTTCTGTCTTGTGGCTGAACAAGAAGGTTCAATTTTTTTTGTACATTTTAAAAAAAACTTTGTGATTGATTGCACTGAATCAACATAAATAATCAACGATAATGAAAAATAAATGTATCCACAAGAACATGTATTGTAATCTAATCTTGATGCAATTTATTTTGCCTCACACTGCTCGACCTGAGCCAAAACCATGTTCTGGGGAAACCAGTTGATTGATGGTATCTATTTTTGACTGGTTAGCAATGACTCAGCATTGCCCTCACACCTACTCTCATGCCTGCACAGTATAAAAATAAGTTGGCGTAATAGTTCATTTCTTTCTAACCAGGAACAATGTCCTGCATTTCCTGTGGATCTGTGGGAATGTTGAGTAGTTCACAGCAAATACTTTGTAGCTTGAAGGCAGATACCATTAGTTAATACTGTTTCTACAAAGACTATGGCCACCATCTTTGACATAGTTCTGGCATACGTTTCCCTGGAGTTAACCATTATTCCAATAAACAACTGGTAGATTGAGTGCTCAAATTGTGTATCTACTTTGGATGGTGCTTCTACTTTAGATCTAAATAGTTGGTCACAGGAATATCATATTTTCCAGAAGGTTTTGTAACAACCCATCACCTCCATAACTAGTTTAGGTGACTCATGCATTCCTATTCAGTGTAGTAGATTGGGATCCAGCAAAATCAACGGAGAAAGAATCAACCCAGCATCAACTTGAAGTGCAAGAATTGTGTCCAAACCACATTTAATCTCTGAGACAGGTCAGTACATCTCTCGACATACACAATAATTCTGTGGTATTACAGCAAGCAGGGTGGAATTCATTCTGAGTCCTTCATAACTCCGTATTTGGAGATATGTGCTTCTTCTGATCCCAAGGGTACTTCAGAAAATAAGGGACAAAGCTAATTCTGATAATCTATATTGATCTCTCAAACAATGGTGCTCAAGACATCTTGGCTGCCAGTAGGCAGCTTCTTCATGTCATTGTCCAGCTCCTGCTTCCGAGGGCACACTTAAAATTAAAACTCCTATCACATGTTGTGAACTTTCTCATTCCCTCACAGATAGCAATACATGTAAAAATCTACAAAATCAAATGGAAGATATAAACAGGAGTGTTTATCCAGAATAACTGACCTATATTCTGTGCCGTGATAACTGTCCTTGAAACCTGCTTAAGTGGTAGGTAATACCCAGCTTCATTAATCTTCACCATGCCGAAATAGCAGTATTCCACATGATCCTTTTGATTGAGCTTTACTGGGACACCAAATAGGACACCTATTTGAAATGCAAGGTTTATTATTTATCTTAATATGACCCTCCATAATGGGGTGCATCATCCTTTTAGTGTTTGTCATGTAAAGTTTTCATCCTGGAAGGCAGCACATACGGCTTTATCCCACTTGTAAGGTCCAGGTATTAGCCATGCCAGATTTGGCATTCTGATTGAATATTCCTTATAAACATCCTGGTTTCCTGCCAAAGGTGGTATCACATTTACACTTAATTTATAATCCTTTCCTTTTACCCAGCATTCATAATTTCAAGAGGATGCTTGTATGCCATTATCCTATGAAAGAATTTGAGCAATATCCCCCTGACAAATCCATCATTTTGGCTTCTCAGGGCTCAGCAGAGAACCCAGCAATGTGAGGAGGGAACTGAGTGAGGTGGAACAGAGTGAAAATTCTGTTAAGGAACTTGGTGAGAGTGGGAATTCGGTGCAGAGGGGGAAAGAGGTGCAGAATTATAAAATATATATTATTTATATTAAAATAATATAAAACATGTCTGGGAATATGGCAGGGCAGCTGAGACCGGTTGCATGCACAATGTGTGCCATGTGGGAACTCCAGGATGCTTTGTGTGCTTTAGACAGACATGTATAGGAAGTGCCTCCGGCTGCTCGAACTTGAGCTCAGAGTTTCTGAGCTCGAGGAGAGGCTGGTGTCACCACATAGCATACGGGAGGCTGAAGAGTTCATGTATCAAACGTTTCAGGAAGTGGACACCCCATAGTCACAGAAGGTTCAGAAGGAGAGTAGAACCTCAAAGGTGGTGATCTCTGGATTACTCCCAGTGCCTCGGGCAAGTGAGTATCAAAACAGCAGGATCAAACACATGAATGCATGGCTGGAGAGATAGTGCAGAAAGGAGGGCTTCAGGTTCTTGGATCATTGGGATCAGTTCTGGGCATCTGGGATCTGTACAAGGTGGATGGGTTACACCTGAACAGACCTGGGACCAATGTCCTCGCAGAAAGGTTTACTAGTACTGTGGGGAAGGGTTTAAACTAATTTTGAGGGGGGAAGGGAATTGGGATGTAGCATTAGAGAGGACAAACAAGTTACATAGAGGACTGGGAGAGACGAATAGCAATGTAATCAGGAGTCACCCAGAAAAAGGAGGGATTAGATGGGGGAGAAATGCAGAACAGACTAAGTCGGTCTTGGACTTTCTGGATCCGTATGTTTCCAGCCCAATGAGGAAGGAAGCACTGATGAATCTAGTTCTAGGGAATGAAGTGGGGCAAGTTGAGGAGGTTTCAGTAGGAGAGCATCTGGACAACAGTGATCACAATATCATTAGGTTTAGAGTACTTATGGAAAGGGACAATGAGTAATCAAAGATGAAGATACTCAGCTGGAAGAGGGCTAATTTCAGTGAGTTACAAAGGGACGTAGCCAAGGTGGACTGGAAAGAAAGATTGGTGGGTAAAACCGCTAACGAGCAATGGGAAGCCTTCAAGGAGGAGATAGTTCAGGAACAGAACAAACACATTCCCACAAAAGGGAAAGGTAAGACATCCAAACCTCCCTGGATGAGTAAGGAAATTGGGATTAAAATAAAACAGAAAAAGGACGCTTATGATAAATGTCAGGTCCAAAATACAGAAGATAATCAAATAGAATATAGAAACTAC